AAATAAAACCAATGAGAAAGACAGGGTATTCTACTCTGACTTTCCAAGTTATCCAAACTTAGAATATTCTGAGTAACCAAAGGCATTTGGTAGTGCCGCTAAACCAAGGAAGTTTTAAACAGATGAGCATCCATATTTCCCACAGGAACTTTTAAAAAAATGTCTTTCCCCAGACCTAACAAATTAGACTCTTCTGCTGTTGGCCTGGGGGTCCTACTGTATTAATGTAATGAGAATTTCTACTTTATATTACTGAAAGGTCCTTTTTATAAGCAAGTATATTTGGACTTACAGTCACTTTCTTTCCTAATTATTCATATAAACTGAGCAGCTAAAAGTTTTGATAATCAACCTTTAGTGGAAAGTGAAATCATTCTATTGCAGTGTCTTAAAATTCTCAACCCTGAATGTACATTGTAATTAAACTACTACAGAGGACCATGGCTTTTAAAAAATAAAAAATGCCTGAGCCTATCCTCAGACTGATTTCACTAGGCATCCATTAATATGTAATTCCTTATAAGGATGCCTGTATTTTGTGGATACACTGCTACCAGGGCCTATACTTGGGAAAAACAAATTTAAAGCAGAGAAAAAGAAACTAAAGAAGTAGCCCTAAACATTAATGCCTTTCAGTGGTTGATAGATGACTTTTATTTTTCAACTTCTCTACAATCAATATATAGTAAAAAATAAATTATTTTCTTCCCTTTTACATTGCTATTAACAATCATGCAGGAAAATACTAACAGATGATTTTTAATATATCACCAAAAGAAGCACTTTTAGCTATCATTGTTGGGAAAAATATGATTAACATAGGCATCCAGAGAGATGAAGGAAATGCTGGATAAAAGAGCTCTTCCAGCCAAAACCGGTTTGGCTCAGTGGATAGAGCGTCGGCCTGCGAACTGAAGGGTCCCAGGTTCGATTCCGGTCAAGGGCATGTACCTTGGTTCCGGGCACATCCCCAGTGGGGGAAGTGCAGGAGGCAGCTGATCGATGTTTCTCTCTCATCAATGTTTCTAACTCTCTATCTCTCTCCCTTTCTCTCTGTAGAAAATCAATAAAATATATTTTAAAAAAATAAAAATAAAAAAAAAAAAAGCTCTTCCATACAGAACTCGAGACAATAATTTCCTCAATTCCCTGGCTTCTTAATATTTTAATGGTAAATTAACCACTTGAAATATGTATCAAAAACTTATTTTAAATAAAGGCAAGACTTACAGTTTAGACTTTGTGCCATTTAGTAAGTCGTCTTCATCACTAAACTCATCTTCATTTTCATCTTGGTCTGATGGTTCTTCACTTTTTTCATCCTCCTCCTCCTCTTCTTCTTCCTCAGTGGCAACCTCACTTACCTTGTCTTCCTCATCCAAGTAATAATTTTTATCAGCACTTAATCCAGGAGTTGTGTCAATTACAAACAATGCATTGTCAGATAACTTATTTTCTGAATCTCCATGTAATGACCCCCTTTGAACACTATTTTCAACAAAACACATAGTGTCCTCTTCAATCTCACTGTTTTCAGACTGCTGGCTTTCATCACTGCTGAGAAGTAATAAAACAGAATCATCCTGAGATGTGTTGAGCTCAGACTTGTACAGTTTGGTATCACACTCAAAATCTACATCTCTTTCTTCATTCATGTCTTCACTATCAGCTATAATTGTGCACTCTTCTTCATCACTACCACCACCATCACTAGATGTGAAGTCACTTCTTTTTATGGTGCTCTTTCTCTCTTCAGTCCATCTGTCTATTTCCACAACTGCAAATGTTTGAGCTAATGATTTCATTATAGCCTCAGAGTTCAGACTTGAGGGCTTTGATGTAGTTTTGTTATTTTGGGGGGTTGAATGCCTCTCAGAAATTAACTGCTGAAGGCCAGTGTCCTGAAGTTCAGGAAAACTCTTCAACTCAGAATTTTTCTCATTAATTTCTTTCTCCTTATCTATCATTCCTTCAGCTTCTTCATCTAAACTCTTACAATTCTGCTTTGTTATTTCTTTGAGAGGTGCTACATTCGCCTGTTTTTCCTTTTTTTTATTAAGACGTTGGCATTTTTGCACTGTTGGTTTTTTTCCAGACTTTCCATGGAAGGAATCATTATCAAAATCATTACAGATTTCATTAGAGATATTTGGTTTATTTATCTGAGAAAGAGATCTGGCTTGTAAACAAGAAGTTTGTCTAGTATCTGAATTCATAGATGAGTTTATCATTTGCTTTTCATTTCCTGGTATAATTTTAGTATCTTTCTTCTCTGTTTGTGCCTGTAATTTCCTCTGCATACTCCTCGTTGTTCTAGTTGCAATTCCAGAAAATGTAGAAATTTCTGAGCATGATGATTCAGCATCAGAAATAGCTTCCGAATGTAATTCTTGGCTTGGATCTGTTAGGGATTTAGCCTTACTTCTGGTTCTTGTAGAAGGCACAATTCTAGAAATACCTGAAACATGCGATTCTGCTTCAGAGACTTCTTCTTCAGTATGAGACTCACTTATTGAAGTTATTTTCAGCCTTTTCTTAACACTGGACACTGGGGTGCATGGAACTAAGATTTGCCTTCTCCTAGTTATTCTTAAAATGGAATCCTGGGGCTCAGATACAGAACAACAATTTGAATCTGCTTCAGAGGTCTCTCCATCCGTAGCTGGTTTGTTCATTTCTGATAATGAGGCTCTAGTTCTGCTCTTTCTTGTCCCAGTTTTAGGAGTTTTAGGTATTGGACTTTGTTTCCTATTGCCCTGTGATTCAGCAGTTCTTGAGTCATCAGATGGAGATTCCTTCCTGCCTTTTGGATTCGCTTGAATTCTTTCAGCAGAATTCTGTAAGCCAGAGAATGCACACTGTTAATTTAGGGAGGGCTAGGACATGGGCAAGGTGAGTGAGGCACTACCCTCAGGAGCAAATTTTAAGACAGCACTAAAAAAAACTCAGTAAACTAGATGAACACAAAACCCAACACCGCCATCCATTATTTTAAAAACTTATATACTGTATCTGTCCCTGCATTTGCAGGGCCCTGCTTCATTCGCCTCACCCAAGTTCTTGACTCTGTCTTTAGAGAGCAAAGTAATAATGATAATAATAACTGAAAAGAAAATATTTCTACACCTAAAAATGTCAAATATTCTAGGTGGGCCTATATTCCGAAACATATGGGGGAGAGGGAATAAGGAGACTATTAACTCCGAGCAAAGACAGGTTTAGGAAGACACACCAATAGAAGTGGTCGCTGCCCTTACCTTTACCTACGTAAGAGAATTAACGTTCGTTTTCCTTCCTCCCAGAATCAGAGGGAGCGACAACTAGCGCCACCGAGAGCCGCCAGGCGGCATCACTGCCGACCTCCCCACGCCAAAAGGAGGTGCTGTGGGGGGGGTCTCCGTCAGCCCCCCACCCCCTACCATGAGAAAAGGCGCCCTTCACTCCACACCCGCTCAATTAGCTCACGCTTGGTGGCCAAAACAAATCCTTACTACGGTGTTAACAGTAAAGTTAAAAGGTTTGAGCTGAACTACCCAAAGCAAGTTAACTAACCTCTCGGTCCCACACTAAGGACCGCCTTAAAGACAGCAGAGGAAGTGACAGGCTCGGCGGCGGCCGGTACGCAGCCCCGCGCGGCAGGCTCGTCCCGCTGCTCCAGCATCAGGGCCGCCGCCCCCCGCCCCCTCCCCGGGCGCCCCTCTGCGAAGCGGCGAGCAGAAAAGAGGGAGCCTCGCTATTTCCTACCTTCTGCCTGGAGCTTTCAGGCGACGTAGCTTGGATGTCGGCCCGAGGCCGCGCCGACCTGGTGACCACCATCTCACCGGCTGGCAACCACCTGGCCCGTGTCGGTTCCGGAGCCACGGAAGTGCGTCAGACAAGGGCCTCGCTCGCGGTTCCCGCGAGAATTCCGGATCTCGCGAGAACCTCTTCCCTACCTCCGCCGGCCGGCGGAGTTCCGGCGATTCCCTGGGATCCCCGAGGGCGCGGGGTTTAGCGTTCACTCCGGGCACCATCCTTTGGCCCCACGTTGTGGGGCGGTGACACTCGCAGTGACGGAGGCCTGCGTTCCCGTTTCCCCTCCTCCATCCATTCTTTCACTGGTTCGGCAAATTCTAAAGGTTTTAATGTAGCCTGGGGTGTGGCCGAAAGAGACGTTTGCGTTACGTATACTTTTTTTTAATTTTGCTTACGTGTTTGTTTTTTATTGTTTAAGGTATTACAAGTAGTAGTACATATGTCTCTTTACGTATACTTTCTTAAAAAACAATCACTCTTGTATTATTTGTGAAGTTAAATATAAATAAAATAACATTTAAAGAATTGGTTGGGGTGAAGATGTTTATGTTACATTTCCCAGGAACCCAGACTAGTTAGGCAGGTATATGACCTAAAGGTGAGATGGTGACTAGGGATTGGGAATAAGCAGAAAAGAAGAAATGTTAAAGAAATTGTGAGGAGAGTGATAAAAAATTTCTTGCAGTGAAGGGAAGAGAAAGACAATAGAAGCTTTTGGATTTATTTTAGGATGAAGGGTGGAGAGCTAGAATGTTTGAGGGGAATGGAAAGGGATTGAAGAAGAAGATGGATATTGTTGGAAGTGAGAAAGGATGAGTGCCTCACTAAATGTATTCTTTTATAACAGAAAACCTTCCCCTTCCCCGTTTACAAAACACAGATTTTTCAGTGGCACACTGCCACTCAGCTAAATAGCTCCTTTCATTGTTTCCCTTGCAGCCAGATGTGGCTAAATTTTGGGCAATTACATATAAATTGAGTGTTGTGTAGTTCTTAAGGGACATCTTTTTTTTTAGATTATCTTTTTTATTATGTATTTTTTATTATTATTATGTATTTTTTTATTGATTAAGGTATTACAAATGTATCCTTATCCCCCCCATTATCCCCTCGTCCCTCCAGTCCTGCCCTCACCCTCACCCCCTGTTGTCTGCATCCATCACTTAAGGGACATCTTAAAAGAGAGGATGTCTTCCTTTCCTTTTTTCTTTCTTTCTTTCTTTCTTTCTTTCTTTCTTTCTTTCTTTCTTTCTTTCTTTCGTGTTTTTTTTGTTTATTTTGTTAATCCTCACCTGAGGATATTCTTCCATTGATTTTTAGAGAGAGTGGAAGGGAGAGGGAGAGACAGAAACATCAATGTGAGAGAAACACAAAAACACATCAGCTGGTTGCCTCCTGCTTGCACCCTGACCAGGGCAGGAGAACCTGGAACCAAGGTACTTGCCCTTGACCAGAATGGAACCCGGGACGCTTCAGTCTGTGGGCTGACGCTCTATCCACTGAGCTAAACTGGCGAGGTCTTCCCTTGCCTTCTTTAACTTCATTTTACACCCTGAAAAGTAATGTGTGCTATCTGGTTTGCAAGCAGCAGGTTTGTGCCACTTTAGTGATGGCAGAGGCGCGAGAAAGAAAAAAGCATGGGTCCCAGACAATGGGTGGAGCTGCCATGTCAGTCTTAAACAGACTACTTCTAGATTTGTTTCACCTGAGAAAAACACTTGTCTTTTTTGAAGCCAGTGTTATTTGGTGATTTTCTGTTATTTTATGACAAGCCTAATCCCAAATGAAGTATGGAATAAAAAAATAGAGATGGAGGGCGTAGAAGCCACAGAAGAATACTCCTTCCTTTGATGCAGGAGGGGAGAACTAATATTTGAAGCAGAGAGGAGAATGTGAATGCAGGGAAATTAAAGTGTTGAGAAGAAAAGAGAAGGGGATTTTGGATTGATAACTCCAATTTTCTATATAAGAACATTCATCTGCTCAAGAATGGGAAAAGTTTAGATTGGTTCTTGTGGGGAATGTGGTGAGGAGCAAAAAGAAGGAATTTTGGTTGAGCCAAGTAGCAGTGAGACTATGTAAGCAGTAAAAACAGAAGAGGAAATAGGCTAGACTGAAGAGAAGGTAGAGGAAGGAAAGTGAACATATTGAAGGTCAAAGCAGCAGAAGATAACAGCATCAATCATAGTAATAGTATTGAGCACTTACTATATCCTGGGTATTCAGTGCTTTACATGTGTTAACTCATTTAATCTTTACAAAAACTTTAACATGAGTGTGGATGAAAAAAGGGCCACATGCTAAACTGACAAGCTCAGGGAAGGCCTTCTTGGCAGTCTTGCAAACTCAAAGACCTAAAGTAACCACAAAAGATGGTCTGAAATAAAACTTTAACTAAAAGCAGTTTATAGTTTATGTCCTAGGCCAGTATCTTCCCTGACAAAAGTCAATCTGTACCTTAACTGAGCCTATTGTCTTTTTGTATCTAAGATAACATACCTGTGAAATGTCAGGGTAACTTATAACTTCCCTTTTTCAGGACCCCCTCAGGGCATAACCAAATATGCCTGGGCACCAGGACTTGAGACTATAAATTTCTTCATTATTGTTGTTAATTGTTGACTGTTAACTATCCTATACCCATCTAAGTAAAAGAAGTATGTGTCTATCATTTTACTTTTTATCCAATCCTAGAGGTCCCTGCCCCCGCCTTTGCTTTTTCCCACCTCCCTAATCTATCACCAAGGGATTTCATGTAATCCACTTACATCTCTTCCTTTGATTGTAATGTATAAAACAAGGTGTAAAACTACCATTCTCCAGAGCATTTTCCCGATCCATTGAGATTCTGCTTCCCAGCCATTGTCGACAGATTGATTTAAAACACAGAAATTCTTTACAGGTTTGAATGTTTTTATGTTAACATGAGCAAATACATAAAAATAGAAATTAAGATCACAGGAGTAGGTTTAGAAAATTAGGAGAGTATTTGAAAATTAATTTGTAATATTCACTTGCAAGCATGGCCCCTTAAAGTAAAACAGACAAAATCCCAAATATTATAATCTAAAAAGGTCAAAAAGCAAATACCAAAATTAAAATGTCAGTACATATTCGTAATCTGAGGAAATTGAGCTAGCCTACCATCAATAGGTTCTGTGTTTGTTTTATGTGTACTTACCAGGTGTGTCCTGTTTCCCTATTTCTACTTTCTCTGGTTTGCAAGCAGCCTACCCTCTTTACCCAAAGTCAATTTGGAGCAAATACAGTATTCTCACTTTTAGATAAGTATAAAAATACAGTAGTTATGCCCTAACGGGTTTGGCTCAGTGGATAGAGCATCGGCCTGCAGACTGAAGGGTCCCAGGTTCGATTCTGGTCAAGGGCATGTACCTTGGTTATGGGCACATCCCCAGTAGGGGGTGTGCAAGAGGCAGCTGATAGATGTTTCTAACTTTTTATCCCTCTCCCTTCCTCCCTCTCCCTTCCTCTCTGTAAAAAAATCAATAAAATATATTTTAAAAAATATAGTAGTTATTTCTCAGTCCCAAAGAGAAACTCTACCTTGATAGTCTGATAGTCTATATTTTACAAATTAAACCCTTAAATCAAGGATTGGCTCTCTGGAATTTTAGGCATTAACCAAAAGATGAGAGTTTTAGTGCATGAGCCGTCTTTCTTTCTTTCTTTTTTAAATGCAGAAATATTTTTGTTTCCTTCATTGTTTTTGGAAATTCTGTTTTGGCTTATAAAACATAGAAATAGCCAACACTTACGTAAAGCAAACACTCAAAAACCCCAATGTGACAAGTTATTGACTTTTTGTGCAGTGAAGAACACACACACACGGATTAGGCTATGATGACGACTTGAGTGCAACCCCCTGTGCTGTGCGGCATGTGTACTCACACCCATAACGACAACTTACTCCAGTCACACGTGGCAAAGGCTTTCTGGTAAGTGAAATTAGCAAATTAACTTAAAGAAATCCTGGGAGGAGTGACTCCCAGGAAATGAGTGTTCGGACTTCCGTCCCTGAGAATTTGGCTTGCGGAAACATTTCACAGGAGCCAGGAAGCATGATGGTAGGAGAGCAAGTTTATTATCATCCATTTCCATTAGTACCCACGTCTATGCACTCCTTAAAGCCTCGTAGACATGCCTTGCCTGAGAGTTTATTCCGGGGAAAAGCCAGTTAATCACAATGTGAACTTCTGATATGAAAACCACATTAAAAGCCCATTGGCCATCACAAACAGAAGGATGTTCAGTGGAGATAAAGTGGACAGTTACTTAGGCTCCACAGTTGAGCATGGTCTTGCCAGGTGATTCTTTCTTTCTTGAAATGCTTGGTTGATTTTCTCATAACCCCGGGGACAGAGGGAGGGAGAGTCTGGAGAGGAGGCCCTGAGAGCACTCTGCTTCGTGGGTACCAGAATCCATTCACCCTGGGAGTGGCCCCGTGTCTGGGACTCAGTATCTTTACTGTCCTGAGTCGGTCTGTTCTGCACTTTCCTGGGAAACTTCGGCTCCAAAAGGAACAATAAGGGAATGGGGGGGGGGGGGGGAAGAGCAGGCGTTTCAGAAGCCTTCATCCAAGGGGACATGAGCATGTGTAAGATGTGGGGAAGGGAAGCTGACAGGAATAAAAAAAAAATGTCTAGTCCACTTGTGACATTCTCTAGCCGGGTCGGTTGTTCATAAGGAACAGTTTCCTTCCAGTGCAGGTATTCTTCCGAGCAGCCAACGACTACAGAGTTTGCAGCAAGTAGCAGACATTCAGAAATAGCAAGTCCTAGTCCCTTGGTTAGAAAAACAGGGAGACAGAAGTTCCACATCCGCCTTCTGAACGAAGGAAGTCACGAATAACTTAGCACATGTATAGTTTCCCTTGACTATTGTGAAGGCTCGTTTTGGAAATGGTATATCACCGCATGGGGACATGATCTGCCACGCGAGGTGACTGCAAGGCAGAGTCCCGCTTCCTCTAATATTCCTATGACAAGAGCCCAATGCCCAAGTCAAACAAGGGGTGCCCTTCCCTATGCTCTTGTAGTCAAATCGCCAACATGAAAGCCACCAGGAGAAGATGATCGTGGAGGTGTGTGGTTTCTTCTGACCGTTCCTCCTCCCTTAAACTTTGGTGGTGGAATAAAGTTCCTCTATCTGTGACTTGAAATAATTCTGAAGTTGTGGCCTTTTTGCCTTCATTGTCGGGGTCAGAAGGCCGTTTTCGATAGAGAACAGTTCAGGGTGGAGAGCGATGCCTTTGACCTGCTCGAATGGCTTCAGGCCAGAGTCCTTCCCCAGCCTCACCAAATCCTCTAGGATGGCTTTCTTGACATCCTTGCTGCGGCACAGCTCCTCGAAGGATCCCACCAGGCCTCGATTCCCCGCCCAGAGGCCCAGCGTCTCCACGTCGGGGACCACGATCGCTATGAGAAATGCCTGCAAGCTGTCTCCATGGACGAACACCTGAGCAACGGGTTCGCTCTGTACGTAGATAGTCTCGATCTTTTCGGGTGCTATGTATTCTCCTTGTGCCAGTTTAAATATGTGCTTCTTCCTGTCGATGATCTTCAAGGCCCCATTGGGTAACCATTTCCCAATGTCCCCTGTGTGCAACCAGCCACCTTTGTCCAGAGCTTCCGCTGTCTTCACCGGGTCCTTCAGGTAGCCTTGAAATACATTTGAGCCTTTCACACACACCTCGCCCTCGCCGTTGGCAGCCAGGTAGTTCATCTCTTTCACATCGATGAGTTTTATCAGATTGCAAGGCACGGGGGCACCGACATGGCCTGCGGTCCACTCTCTGGGAACGGTCATCGAGCAGCAGGCTGTGCCCTCAGTCTGCCCATAGCCTTCGTAGAAATGACAGCCCAGCGCCGCTCGCATAAACGTCAGCACCGTGTCTGACACGGGCGCAGCCCCCGTGATCATCAGCCGGACCTTCCCTCCCAGGTTGGACTGTATTTTGCGGAAGATCAGTTTGTCCCACAGGCTGTCGTTTCTAATGATGCCACTGCGAAGTTCTGTTTGTTTCCTCTTGGAGGCGAAGTCCAGTAGCAACCGCTTCAGGGTGGTGTTGGCCTGCCCCCAAATTCTGTCGAACATCCGGTTCAGCAGCCTCGGGACCACAGGAAAGATGGTGGGCTGAAGCACTTTGAGGTCATCCATAAGCAGCTTGAGGTCTCCTTGGAAAAAGCCTATTTTCGCTCCGTGGCACAGGATCGCACACTGCAAGAGCTGCTCGTACATGTGTGCAAGCGGTAAAAACGAAATGTGTGTGTCACTGACATCCAGGTGAATGACCTTCTCGGTCACTTTCAGAAACGCCGAGAAGTCGCTCACCATGTTGCGATGGGTGATCATGGCCCCCTTGGGGTTGCCGGTGGTGCCACTTGTGAAACAAATGACTGCAAGGTCTTCAGGCACGGGCGGCTGGGGCGTCTTTCTGTGGGCTCTTCCCAGGTCCCCCACGGCCTTCATGCTGACGATCTCCACCCCGCACCTCTCGCCGCGTGCCGTCAGGTCGCTGCCGTAGGAGTCCATGACCACGACGGTTCTGAGGCCCGGGGTCGACTTGTTTTCTACCCCTTCCAGCAGCAGGCTGGCCTTCTCGGGCTTGTCCACGAACACCAGGGCGAGTTCCGCAGTGTTGACGATGTGAGTGACGGCTTCGGTTCCCAGGGTGTCATAGAGGGGGACGGCCACCATGGAGTAAGCAAAGCATCCGAACTCGATGACCACCCACTCGGGTCTGTTCTGGGAGAAGATGCCGATGTTCTGGTCCGGTGCCGCCCCGAAGCCCATCTGGATCATGGCCGAGCCCACGCACTCGGACATCTCCGCCACCTGCTGGTAGGAGAGCCATTCATAGGGCCCGTCCGGCATCCGGAAGCCCAGACAAGGGCCGTTATTGGACAGGCGGACGCCCCTCTGGAAAGCTTGGTGCACGGTCCTGACGTCCTCGTACAGGTACACCAGGAGCTCGTCGCTGTCCAGGAGCGCGGACCGCCGCGCGCCGCCGCTGCCCGCCACCTCCACCGACTGCATGGCGAGGGCGCTCGGGGGCGTGGGCGCCCTGGGCCTCATGGCAAACCACAGAATGGTGAAAGCGGTGAGCGCGTCGAAGCCCGTGAGCGAGTTGGCTGGGAGCGCGCGGACGTACTGTCGGAAGTCGGCCAGCTCCGGTATCCGAAAATACCGGAGCAGCTCGTGGGCTGGCATGGTCCCTAGCCGGGGGTGCCCTACGCGGACTTACTGAGCCACGGGTTTTGAAATCTTAGACGCTGGAGAGAAGACGGGTGCCTCCAGCCCAATGTCTTCGTGGAGGCAGGGAGCTGAGTCCTCACTCCACCCAAGTCTCCGTCCCCAGAACGCGCCATCCATCCCTCCATGCCAGCCACGTCACAGGGAACGCGCCATCGTACTTCTCCCCTCTCGGCTCCACGAAGGCCACCCCAACCGGGATACCGTGCGTCTCCGACACACTCACAACTTCTCTCGGGGTCAACTCCTTGCGTCTGAAGCTCAAGGAGACGGCCGGCCCCGCCACCGCACAAACGAGGAGCGGGACCCGCGGCGCACGTCACCGGACCCCAAGGTGGACCAGCGCCCTGGCCGTGCGGGCACCCCCGCCTCGGGCGCAGGAGGCGGGTGGCACCGAGGCCTCCGCAGCCGCCGGGCAGAGGCCCGGAGAAGCGGAACGTCCCAACGAAGCGAGCGGCTGCCCACGCGCCTCGGCTGCGGCCGGCCGCGGGCACTGGAGCTCGGGCGGCGGGGCAGCCTGAGCCCGGCACCTCCGCGGAGCCCACGGGCGCCGCAGCGGGAACGTCTTCTAAGAACAGATACTATACATGGTCATTCCGTATTATTACATATAAAACATTACTTTTAAATTAAGTTTGACTTGTAAGAATTTCCCGAATAATCCCATCTCCTGGTTTCAAACCCTTGAGTGTGGGCTGGACCTAGTGACTTACTTATTAGTATAATGAAAAGAATGACACATGTGATGGGTTACCTGACCCACGCGCGGTGGCCTCCGGCTCCCTGCAAACACTCCCCCCTCCCCAACTGTGGTGCCAGGGAGCACCTACTCCTTAAGGACAACCCGATGCCTTCAGCGGCTGCACAACCTCCCCAGGCTCAACCTGGGTGGTACCTCGTGGCGCCTATCTGGTTTGCTGCTCTACCTGGATTGCAACAGTATCGCCTTCGTGGAGGAGGGCGTCTTCCAGACCTCTTGAACCCCCTCGTGCTGCACCTCAATGGCAACCACCTCACTGTGCTCACCTGGGCCACCGTCCAGCCGCCCCCCCCCCGCCCCCCCCTCCCCCGCGCTTCTTTTGGGACGCTCTTTCTCATGCTGCCTGGACTGGATGGAGAGCTCTGAGCTTGTCGCCAACGTGCCCCCCTGGGCTCTGTGGCAGGAATCTGCCAGGTGGCCTTTGCGCTCTCACCCATCCAGCCAGGCCTGTCCTCAGAGCCAGCAGTCACCACTGTGAGCGGGTTCAGCTGTCTCTTCTCCAAGCTGCTGGCCCAAGTCCCCGGTGGAGGAGGCGGCCAACACCACCTCGGGGCCAGTCAATACCTCCACAGCCTTCCCTCGGCAGCAACAACACCGGTTCCCCTTGACTCTAGTCTCCTGTTCAGCGTGGCCCAGCACATGGTGTTTGTCCTGTGCCCAAACTGCCTTGGCCAGCTGGGAAATTTTACTTAATTGGGCTTGAAAGTGTTTGTGGTCCGGGGAGAGGGGAACAGGATGGGAGCAGGTGGAAGGTGGAAGGAACATTTTGCCTCCAGAGATGGTCCTAGGAAGAGGACAACCCTGCGAAGTGTCATGGGGGTGGGGGTGGGGGTGAGGTATGAATTTCTGTTCTTGTCACATGGGCATCAGCTGGAAAAGAACGCATCAGCTGGAAAAGAAAGGAGAATGAACATGATGACCCTCTGATAAGAAGGTTGGGAATTCCTAGAGTCTCAGGGCTCCACCTCCCCCCATGGACTCACTGCAATGCCTGAATGAGTCAGTTCTTGGCCAGGTACTGAGGACTGTGCCAATTCTCCTGGTGGGGCAACCCATTGACCCAGTCCTTTTGTTTTCCATCTCAATCCTCTTCCCCCTGGGCCTGAAGACACTAGGGTCCAGGAAGATGGGCCGGGGATGGGAGAGGGGCTTAGACCTAAGGGGATGGTGGTGGTTCCTGGAGTCTGAGATGTGTTACTAGATGTGTTACAAAGACCCATTTCATTTACTCCACAATTATTCCCAGGGGTGGCCTTAGGTGTAAAGGAACTTTAGGGGAGGGCAGGGGAAAAACAGGGAGGAAGTGTCTGTGGACAAATAAATTTGTAAAATCCTAAGATTAAAAATAAAAAGGTAACAGGTTTGTCTACTGCAGGACCTTTCAGTCTCTCACAGGCAAACATGCTCCGTGAATCTCTGGGGAGGCCACAAAATATTTTCTTAGTGTTTTGTGGGAAGTGTCCAGAAGACACAGAAATGCTTTGTTAACGGGATAGGAAGTCCCCAGCTTGGGTTCTATTAGCTGTGAAAATTATTATGGGATGCACCCTTAGGGGCTAATAGCCAAGAGGAAAGGAAGCAATCAGTGTGTGTGTGTGGGGGGGGGGGGGGAGGTGTGAGATATTCCCCAGATAGGAAGTTGCCAACTGTAAATTCCCAGATCCGAGTGTCAGAGCAAAGGCTGTCTTTCTGCAAAATCCTTGCTTAAGCTGTCCTCCATAACTGCATTTGTCAACACTTTGAAAATCCCTAATCTGAATACCCTGAGTTCCTCTCTCTGTTTGAAGAGGTAGGTTTTCAAAGTCCACAGATTCAGGGTGCACTGAGCTGTCATTTCTTTATGGTGACAGTACTTCTTTTGTGTTTCTAGGTGATATTAAATACTACAAATGTTGCAAAAGCACCTCCGAGGGTATGTTCAAATAGGATGTGACCATTAGTGGTCAACACAATTTAATGAGTCATAACTGGCATTTTAAAAAACAAGAGCCCTAGCTGGTTTGGCTCAGTGGATAGAGCATTGGCCTGAGGACCGAAAGGTCCCGGGTTGATTCTGGTCAAGGGCACGTACCTTGGTTGCAGGTTCCCCGGTCCTGGTCAGGGTGCAGGCAGGAGGCAACCAATTGATGTGTCTCTCTCACACAGATTTTTCTGTCTCTCCCTCTCCCTTCCAATCTCTAAAAATCAATGGAAAAATTACCTCGGGTGAGGATTAACCACCCCCCCCCACAAAAAAAAAACAAAAAACAAGATAGAACACAGTCACAGAGCATTACATGTAATACAAAAGTATTGTTTTATGAAACTTACAAAAGTATTGTTTTATGTTTTATTTAATGTGTATGCATTCAGATTATATATGCATGTATATGTCAGTCTGGATTGTGTCATACAATCTGTATTTTATTGTGGGTTAGCATTTAAAAAGTTTGAAAGTCACTAAGAAAAAAAGATTAGGTTACAAAAATGGCTGACTTCTACCTTGTACTCTCTCACTTGTCTGTTCTGTGGGAAGCTAGCTGCATGTTATGAGCTCCCCCATGGAGAGGGCCTATACCTATCGAGAAAATGAGCAAGGTTAGAAGCAGACCAACCTCAAGCAAGCATACAGGCCAGACCAATTTCAGCTGACACTTTGCAACTGTTTGAGACATATTTTTTGTGTTCTAAAATTTTATGTAAAGGAATTAACACAAAATGTACTTTTTCATGTCTAGCTTCTTTCACTCAGCATGTTTCTAAGATTCATCTATGTTACTGTGCATTGTGTACTTCATTCTTTTTAATGGCTGAATAGTATTCCATTGTTTGATTATAATACAACTCATCCATGCAACTGTTGATAGCATTTGGGTTTCCAGTTTTCAGATATTATGAATAAAGTACTGTAAACATATATTTTGGGACACATGTTTTTATTTCTCTTGAGTGAACAGGTTGCTAGTCATAGGGTAAGTATACATTAATTTTGTAAGAAATACAAAATTTTCCAGAGTGATCATAACATTTTACATTCTTATCAGCAATATGAGAGTTCTGTTTGCTCCATATCCTCACCAACACTTGGTATTCTCGGTCTTTTAAAGTTTTAGTGGTATTTTATTGTAGTTTTAAAGTAATTATTCCTGATGACTAAGATGTTGAGCATCTTTCAATGTTCTTACTAGCTATTCATGTTATCTTTGGAGAAAAATGTTTTAATCTTTTGTTATTTTCATTTTATTTTTAAAAATTGTTTTTATTGATTTTAGAGAGGAAGGGAGGATAGAGAGAAAGAAACATCAATTGGCTGTTCCCTGCACACCCCTTACTGGGGATGAAGCCCACAACCTGGGTATGTGCCCTGACCAGGAATCAAACAGGTGACCTCTTGGTTCATGGGTTGATGCTCAACCACTGAGCCATACCGGCAGGGCATCTTTTGCTATTTTTGTGTGTGTGTGTTGTTGTTTTTTTTTTAAATATATTTTATTGATTTTCTACAGAGAGGAAGGGAGAGGGATAGAGAGCCAGAAACATCGATGAGAGAGAAACATCAATCAGCTGCTTCCTGCATATCCCCCACTGGGGATATGCCCGCAACCAAGGCACATGCCCTTGATTGGAATCGAACCCGGGACCCTTCAGTCCCTAGGCCGATGCTCTATCCACTGAGCCAAACCGGTCAGGGCTTTAATTGGGTTTTATTACACATTCTAGATACAAGATCCTTATCTGATATATGATTTGTAAATATTTTCTACCATTCTGTGAATAGTCTTTTCACTTTCATGATGGTGTCATTTGAAATACAATTTAAAAAAAATTTGATTTGTCTAATTTATTTTTCATCAGAAATATGTATCGGATATATTCCCCCAGTTGATGCTTCAATTTTCAGTCTTTTTTGGGGGGGTGGGGGGTGGGGAGGTGAGGTTAATACTCACCTGAGGATATGTTTTTCCATTGATTTTTAGAGAAAGTTGAAGGGAGGGAGGGGGTTGCCTCCTGGAGACTCCCCAACTGGAGGCCAGGATCAAATCTGCAACCCAGGTACATGCCATTGACCGGGAGTTGAACCCAAGATCCTTTGGTGCTCGGGCACACTCCAACCACTGAACCACACCAGCCAGGGCACATTTTCATTTTCTTAACAGTGTCTTTTGAAGAACAGAAGATTCAACTTTTGATTAAATCTAATTATCAATGTCTTATTTTATGATTACACTTTTTTGTTATAAAAAAACTTTACAGCCAATTTTAATCATTTTGCTTTATTTTAATTTTATACACATCAAAATAAGTTGAAATTCTCAACTAAAAATAAAAAAAGCAACTAGAGAAAAAGACATTATTTCTAGGGAAGGAAATCCAGATTTTCATTAGCAAGAGTATACATACTGTCAGTGGAATATTTAAGTTGCTGAGGGAAAGTATGTGGAAAATTAGAATTGTCTAGTGTCCAATGACCATTAAGGTTGAGAACAAAATAAAGACATTTTCAGACAAACAGGGCCTAAAAATTTATTGCCCAAAGACGTTTGCTAATTATTAAGGACATACTTAAGCAAGGAAAAAGGGAACATAAATGGAGTAGGATGCAAGAATCAACAGTGAGTAAAGAAACAAGGAAAATAGTGCTCAGTCAAAATAAGTAATGCATATTGTAAAATATGAATCTTCTTAAAATAACGGACCAACACAGAAAAATCTTATATAACATTTTGTACATTTATTCATTATTGAGGGATACATATTAAGGTTTTGACTTTTTTGGTAGTGAAACTACATAAGACTATATCCTGATATGTTCAGGGGATTTGAGCAAGTTTTAGTCTCTCTTTTATATAACATGACTTTTCCAAACTTACCTACTCTTATCTCATCAGAAGTCATTCCTTTCTCTTTGGTAAGCACAAAATCTTAAAGTGTTTCCACTAAATTCCTAAAGTTTACATTATAAACTGTCATTCAATAAAAGCACATCTATGAACCAGGCAAAAAGGGCCTCTGGGTAGAATGCCCGCCCACACCTCCTCCTCTGATCCTGTCCTAAAGCTAATTTCTTCAGAGGAGTCTTCTAAAAATAATACTTCCAAGCCCCATTTCCTTCCACGTATCCCCCAATCCCTTTTCACCATAGCTATCATTAATAGATGCAGGTTTTTATTGGTCTGGTTCATGTACAGATCTCTATATTTGTGTCTACCTGTCAAATACCTTGCACAGTGTGTTACATACTAGGCATTTGACATAGCTGCTGAATGAATGCATGAATAGCTTTATGGCTTGAATATTTAAAAATTATTCATCATTTATTTTCAAATTATACTCAGTTTGAGTTCAAAATCAGTATAACGTTTCAGGATGTTTTCAACTGTTAAAACCACTCAATTAAAATATACTCACACTTTAAATTCGTAAGTAAAATTAAAAACTATTATAAATATTAACTAGGGGACCAGTGCATGAATTCATGCACCTTGAAAGGAACTGTGGGCTGCAAGGCTGTGGTGGGTATAGGGGCGGGTCTCGGCCCATCCTCCGTGCCCCTGCCCGGCCCCTCCCGCCGCAGCCCCAGTCCCCAGTCTGCCAGCAGCCCCGCTCCCACCACCGCTGTTCCCACGCGCTGATGGCGCATTATATTTTTGTTCCGGCCAGGTAGCTCAGTTGATTGGAGGGTCGTCCTGTATGCCAGAAAGTTGTGGGTTTGATTCCTGGTCAGGGTGCGTACAGGAGGCAACCGATAGATGTTTCTCTCTCTGTCTCTCTCTCTCATCAATGAAAACATATCCTCGAGTGAGGATTAAAAAAAAAAATAATGCTTTATATTTTGTCTGTATTTTATAGTACATCACTATAGACACATAACAGTAGAATTATCTGGTAGGGAAAAGTTATGTTACATATTTTCAAAAATAAAACTGACATCCCACTAACATTATGGGAAAACAACAGGTATAAGTTCTGATACATTAGGAAGTTAAGTTTAAAAAAAATAGGTTCAGCCCTGGCTGGTGTTTTCAATGATTAGAGCATTGTCCCATGCACTGAAGGGTATCGGTGCTCTCAGCCAGGGCACATACCCAGGTTTCAGGTTTGATCCTCAGTAGAGGCGTGCGCAGAAGGCAGCCAATTGATGTTTCTCTCTTACATCTATGTTTCTTTCTCTTTCTCCCTTTTCCTTCCTCTATTTCTAGAATCAATGAAAAAATATCAAACATATCCCTGGGTGAGGATAAAAAAACAAAATAAATAAGTTCTCATTAAAACAACTTCAAATTTCTCTAAATGTACAATTGGCAGAAAAATTAACTGTCAGCCAATATACAATAAATATATCAGTCACTTACATTCCCAAATATTGAAAATGATGGGTGGAAATATTAGAATGAAAATCTTTTCTGAAAAGAGATATAATTAAATGAACCTTAGATCTTTTATCACTGAAAATGGAGATTCTGTTTCAGTTTCTAATTGGCTCTGGTAGAGAAAAGTCTGAACTATTCATTCAAAATAGAATGACTTTATTTTCCATTTCACACATAGCTGTCTAATCTTTTTTGAGAATGGAAATATTATTGGCTGTTATTTGTGATTCAAGTTGTAGCATGGGTTATCCCTAAATGAATACTCTACCAGTGTACTGGCACAAGTGGTCTTCAGAATTTACACTATGTAGACATATTTTATAAGACACCTTGGTCCTTCTGGTGACTACAGTTTCTTGGATGGGAATTCAAGATGAACTTATCACAAAACAAACTCCCAAGTTACAGTACATTGTGCTAAAGTAAGGCTCTAGTGTATTTTGGAAATGTAACAATAAGCTGCAGTGTTTTTTTTTATGTTTACTGAAAAAAATTAGATGAATTCTTTCTGTCTTGGTCCCTGG